ATTCGTTTCATGGCAAGGGAGCCGAGTGTCCTGTATCTTAACAGCCTGCAAGCCAAGCCAAGGGCCCTGCAGAGTAGGAAAGTAAACACACGTTGGTTCTTTGAATTGAAATATTCTCGCTAGGGTTATTAAGTTGCCGGCGCTGCAAACGGAGGCATTGCTGGTCTGTTTAGAGGCAGCTGAGCTAGCTGGAAACTAACTAGCTTGGTTGCCAAAAACCAGTTTATGGTGGCTGAATGGTGCTATCTAGACACCTAAGTGATTAGTCACCATTCCAGGCCCGCAGTAACCTCTGTACTGCTGCAGTTACATGGCTATTGTTTCCCAGAATCTGAGTCCCAGAACGGTGAGTTAAAAACTTTTTCGCAATTTTTAGATGAGCACAGGGCAGGTGACTGAATATTAAGTCTTTCTATTGAGGAAAAGCGTGATAAGAATTTTTCAACATGAATTTTGTAGTGTTCAAGAAAATAATTGAAGAATAAGTTTCTCAACTAGCCTCAAAATCTGTTTTGATAAGATTTAGACCTCAAACTTTTTTGTTTGCTTTGTTTCAGTTGCTAAGTAGTCATTGTTATGCCATGATCAGGAAGGCTATGGAGGAAGACCCACAGGAAGACTGCTTTGAAAGGGATTATTTTAGTTTAGATTGAAGAAAAAGCTTTTTCCTGTCATGTCTCTTAATATGTGATTCATTCTAAAACAATCATGAAAATGAGGGGAAATAGTTTTAGGGAATGAGAATTCCACACAGACCATCAAAACAAGTTTGTGTACTGATAAATTATTTATATGCAGATGTATGGCATCAGTATAAAGATGACTGAAAAACCACAGCTGTTTTATCTAGCTATTGCATTGTGCTGCTGCATAGTCCTGAAGAAGGGGTGCTGAGTTTTGATTCATAGAAATCTCTACATTACAACTGGTGCTGATATGAATTGCAAGTTTTATTCCCTTGCCTCTTACCAACCCAAAGAAGTCCTCTGCAGCTCTGTGGTTTTGGGTCTGAGCCCCTTAAGAACTTTTTAACTGTGACCTAATCTCAAGCCCTTTTTTGTTTCATTTCTTCACCTCTCCGAGTTGTGCGGTGGCGGCAGCTTGTTGAATAAATTCTGTCCACTTCCACTTTTCCTGTTGTGGTTTTGCGTTTTTTTTTTTTTTTGGTTTTGGGTTTTTTTTGTGCCTTGTTTAGACTAAAGAGCAGGTTCTGCTGATGAGTGAGGAGGGCATATTGAATCAGGAGCAGGTTTTGGCGAAGTTGCCCTGAAGCTAAAATAGTAAATTTTGTGATGAACCATTGGGTCTCATTTCAGATTATCTTGTTTCTCCTGTGAAGCTGGCTGACTGGGGAAAGCAGTGAGTGCTGTGTTGCAAGGGTGATGGCAATAGAAGCACACATTATCAAGACCTTGTGGACAGGGTGTATTTGGTGACGTAACCTTCAGCTGAAAGAAGTCATCCTCTTACTCAGAGCCTTTTTGGACCTCTATGTAGTAGCATCCCAGGCTAAGCTCTGTTACTCACGGACCATGGCACGTAATATATACAATGCTGCTATTGGGTGTACATGGTCTAAGTAGGCAGGATTTGGAATGCCAAACCTCTAACCTGTCCTTCAGAGGCTGTGTTCTTACCGGCAGTAATCCTTGCGTTCTTGCAGGTACTCAGAGCCAGATGCATAAAAAACTTCCTCTGTTTCCATGGTAACTTGAAAACTTAAATGGCAACAAATTCAAAAGATTGGGGAAGGGGTAAAGACATGCATATTTATCCCATTATCTTGCGTGTCTTTCTCTGAAAATCACCTGAGTTTGCAGTTTTGAAGCACTGTGGGCCTATGCGAGAGTATCATTGCCATGTGTAGCTTTTGGAGGAAACCTGCAGCTTCGGGGATTTGAGAGGATCTAGGGTTTGTCAAGAAGCTGCCTGACTGACTGGTGCCTTTCATAGCAATTCAAGTGACACAGCACTTCAGGCTCTCTCCCCGGCTTCTGTTGTATGGGAATACGTCACTGCAGAACCGATTTTTTTTGTGCATTCAAGTTCCTTAAATGCATGGTAATAAGCATAACCAAAATAAATCATTGTTAATTAAAAGGAAAAAAGAGTAAAGAGTAGAGAAATGGAGTTAGAAATGCTTCACTTCCATTTGTTAAAATAAACTTAATGTGCAGCAGAGAAATCTGTAAGCAGATTTCAAATACCCTGATATCTGCCTGATAAGAGGTGAGAGCCGAGAGTGTCTCAGTGTTCATGTTACTATTGCCATAACTGCTTCACTGTACATGCATCATAGTGAGCATTTAACTTCCCTTTAATTTGCATATTGTGATTCATTGAGTAAATTACACATCTTTGCCCACTTTCTTTTAGTTTAGTTCTCTTTCCCATGTCAGTTTTTGACCATTTGCATATATTTTCAAAATCAGTTCTTCCTTTTCTGTGAATGTGCATACTCTTCATTTTCCTTTTCAAGTAGGTTAGATGGTTGAAAAGTTAGTTACAGATTATATAATATTGTGTGGGCTCTCAGCACTGTAAAAAAGCTTAATTGCTGAAACAAAATACAGAAATGCTTTGCATTTGTGTGTATTTGCTTTTTGAGCAAATTAAATCTAGCACTGGAAATACTCCCATATCCAAATTATCTGATAATCTGAAGTATGATGTATTATAGCAACAAAAGGTTTTGTTACTTGTCTACTAAGACAAAAAAGCCCCACAAATACTTTTTCTAAAATGAGAGTCAGACCTAACTTTTTTTTTGAATGAAGACAGCGTGTTTCATCTTGCTTCAGCAGAACTATTTTCTGAGCAAGTGCTGCAGGATCAAACCTTTTAAAACTTCTTGGCCATGAAACCTCAGCTAGCAGAAATCAACAGAAATTCTGCTGCTGAACTCTGGAGCAAATATCCAACTAGAAATAACTCAGATAATTATTGCATTAATACGTTAAGTGGCATCCTGATTAGCATTTCATGTTTAAATTCTTTTTAAATGGTTATTTTAATATTTTTTTTTTTGTAAGGAACAATCACAGAATAGTTAGGGTTGGACAATGAGATATTATTTATTTAAAAGAATAAATAAATAACTTTGTGATATGTTTGTTTCAATTGCTTTGAAAAAGATTTCCACTTCATGATAAAGAGAGACTTGAGAAATGGTTGCGGAATATGAAACGAGATGCGTGGACTCCAAGTAAGCACCAGCTTCTGTGCAGTGATCATTTCACCCCTGATTCCCTTGATGTGCGATGGGGTATACGATACTTGAAGCATACTGCTGTACCAACAATTTTCTCTTCCCCAGAAGATGAGGTAACGTATTCCTATCTTTTTGAAATTGTAGTACAAAGCTAAACAACTATTGATGCTATACAGATGTTCTCATTGTCTGTACTATATTCATATTTATTTAAAAATAGAATTCACATCCATTTTCAAGATACCCAATTATTTGGGTATTAATTTTTCCTGGTTGCCAATTATGTTTTCCATTATTATCTGTTTCTGTAGCCTGGCCTCTTGGTTTGTTTCTTTCCCCTACCGCCCTTCTGGGTTTGGTTTGAGTTTGGTTCCCCAGCCCCCTTCCTGGTTTGTTTGGGTTTTTTGGACTTTTTTGTTGTGGGTTTTGGTGGTTTTTTGGTTGTAATTTTTTGTTTTTTGGTGTTTTTTTTTTAACTCCACTCTTCCTGGCTGTGGTTCACCTGGACACCAGGTGCCACCAAAGTCACTCTACCACTCCCCTCCTAAGCTGGGTAAGTGAGGAAAAAATAAAACAAAAGGCTTGTGGGTCGAGATGAGGACAGTGAGAGATCACTCACCAGTTACCATCATAGGCAAAACAGACTTGTCTTGGGGAAAATTTATTTATTACCATTCTTTGCTCCGGCACCTGGAGCACCTCCTTCTGCATTTACCTTGGTGTCTGCAGAGATGTTTCTCCTATATATTCTCACTCCTCTTTCCAGCCGCAGGTTGTTGCAAAGGGGGTTTTCCCCCTTCTTAGCTATGTTGTCACAGGGGCACTACCACCACTGCTGATGGGCTTTAGCACTGGCCAGAAATGGGTCCATCTTGAAGCTGGGCTGCATTGCATCTGTCAGCTTCAGGGGAAGCTTCCAGAAGCTTCTTCCAGAAGCCACCCGTTTAGCCCCCTGCTGCCAAAACCTTGACACGCAAACCCAGTACACTGGCATGAGCAAAGTTAAAGTTGCTTCTTGTCCTTTTCGTTCTGGGCATTTTGGGGTTTGTGTTTTAGTACAAAGGCCTAACAGGAGTACAAGTTCAGATCTTTTCATAATGAAGCCTACTAGAAAAAAAAAAGACACTATTAGTGTATTTTTTTGTTTTCATTTCACATACTAAAAATCTTTTTTGGATACTGATCTGAAGTCTAATCATGTGGTGATGTAGTTTATGGGGGGGAGGGTGAGCAGAAATAATGTGGCTGAAAAAGGATAAGTTTCAAAGCGCCCCTCTTCTGTAAAATTGAGCCTTCTGCTAAGATTTCTATCCATCCAAAAAAAAAGTTCTCTGTGCAGGATTTAGTTGTCAAAATTTCATTGCTTGTTCAAAAACCAGCTTGTGTTACTGTGCGTGAATATGTTTCACTATTGTGCAAGCCTGTGTTCATCATCTTTTGTTGTTGTTCTCTTCGGGTTAGACTGCATGGCTAAAAACTTGCTCTATCCTTCTAAAACAACATTGTTGCATATTTAATGCAAAATTCTTGTCCTGTGCATATTTTATATACATATATTTAATAGAAGGTTTCAGGTTGTAACAGGAGATGCATAGCCAGTTCTTTTCAAGTACTTTTAAAATTATGATGACTCCTGTAAACCAGTAAAGTTCCTTAAAGTTTGAAAAAAGAAAAAAGTATTATTACCTTTAGAGCTTTAATACAGTATTGTAACATCTAGGACCTGAAGCAAAAGTTGTGGAAGATGCTTACATGAATTTTCAGGTCTTTTGTACAGTTTTTAAACAGTGCTCATCTAAATTACACCTTATGAAGTACCAGTACTCTATAGAATGAGATTTGCCCATTTTTTTTATGTTCAAGTGATTTCCTAGTTACAAAGTGATTGTTTTTGTGTTATTTTTACTGTAGGAAAAAGATTCTTCTCAGAAAAGCCCACAGATGAGAAAGAAAGAAGACTCAGAAGAAACGAATAAAAATGTAATGTCAGAGAAAGCATCTGTAGCACTTAAACCTTGTTCACCAAAGAAAAATCCTGTACTTGCAGAAGATGTAGGTGAAAAAGCAGAAGTAGCTTGCTCAACTGCATTGAGTAAACCTTTACAAATTCAAAAACTGCAATTTCAAAATGGAGAAGACTATCAGGCAGACAGTGTCATTCTTGATAGTTCGTCTACACAGCGTGTGCATCAACCTGATCCTGTTTTAATGGCAGCAGCAGTTCAGAGTATGGAAGCTACCAGTGTTCATACTTCTGTAAAGGATCCAGCAGGTTGTACAGCTACAGTCTTGCAGTTTACAGACCCTGACTACTTGAATTCATCTCTGAAAAATGCTTTAAGTTCAATTTCTGACTATGCAATCGAAAATCCTGACTCTCATATTGTAGGCTGCGCTGTTGAGGTACAGCCAACAAGTGAAAACACAGTTTTACTGAGTACAGTGACACAAACTATTGAGCAGTTCAGTGGAAGTGAAGAGTCTGTCATTGCTATTATTGTGCCAGCCGAGAGTTCAGAAGAGGCTGAAATGGTAAGTAGTTCTTTTCTGCCTATTGAGCCAGAGTTACTTGACACAGAAGAGACAGAAACAGATATACCTGTGTATATGGATGCATATGGTGGAAATGAAGTATTACAAAATGAGCATTCGTACTGCAAACAAGACATAGACAGAGATCTCCTTTGGCAAAAAATTTCAAAGCTCCACTCTAAGATAACTCGACTTGAAATGCAGGAGGTAGAAACTTTGAGAAGACTCAGGTCCTTGGAAGCTCTTATTGGACAACTGAAGCAAGAAAACCTGCTTTCTGAAGAAAAGCTGGAGATTGTAGAAAACTGCTTTACAACACTTGAAGTGACTGTGTTACAGTAAAGGCTTTCAATGATTGTTCTAAAATACCTTTTTCGCCTCTTTGGCCTTTTGGAAAAATTTAAAGTGTTTTTCATTCATGTTATTTTAAACACCTAATGCAAATTATGTGAATGGCAAATATTCTTTAAAACGTTACACCAACCACTGTCAAAGCTAGGTAATAGAATATTGCCTAAAAACATAACTTGCAAGTAAGGTTTAAAAAAATATTACACCTGTTAAAGTTTTGTTAAGAAATATATGAATCAAATAAAGATAACTTAAACCTTTCTAGCTGCGGGCTCCTCTGAAACATGGGCAGTAGTAGAATGGACAGAATAAGCACGTAGGATTGACAATTGTAAAACTGTTTAAAAAATATTGTAAAAACTGTTTAAAAAAAGTGTTCCATTTCTCTTTCAGATGAGTAAGGAGGTACATAATACACATTGTCCAGAGAGGCCACAATTACTGTGTAATTTTCTGTTTATCTAACATACATTCTGATAGGTTTTTTTGTACACTTTGACCTTATTAAAACTGTTTCTGCAATAAAAGGTGTTTCATTTAGTTCTAGAAACAAAAATTCTTTAAGAATATTGTTGCAGTTAGCAGATCCATCTCCTTTTTTAGGAATGGCATTATTCAGCTCAAGTAGAAACAGCCACCTTAAATAGTGGTGTTTTTGTTGATTAATAAAAGGAAAGATCTAACTATCCTGTGACTGCTACCTGCTTGGCATTGCTCCTCTTACAGTCTGTAGGTGGGTAATGCATATACTCTTAACCATACACTGAAAAAAACAATGCTTTTAGTATTATAGCTGGCTGTTGTTACAGGCAAATATGGCTAGGTCCTTTGCTTCAATGATGTGCTGATGCTGAATTACTCAGGCTAACTATTACGAGAAAGGAAAAATACCATGTTAAAAAGTGTGACACCCCACTGAATTAAGTGCTACATGTACATTGTGTTTTCAGTGTTTCCTAATCATAAGGCCGTACAACCTTTGCATGCAATTCTATTTCATTAAACTTTATGGACTCTGAAAGGTGCCGCCTTATTCCTTGAGATCCAATGGAAATTGCTTTTGTGCAGTTGCAGCCCAGCATCAAAGCAGTACACTGAATCATCATTCCTTCTGTAATGTATCAGCCTTATCTTGATCAGAGTTAAATGTTATCTTTTCAATAATTTTGCATTTGCATCAGCTATTTTTAACTTTGCCAATTTCCACTGGTGTAATCAATTACTTCATCGTTTTATAGATTTAACAGATGTCAGCTGGTTTCTTAATTCATCTCTTGAACTGTTAAGCTGTATTTCTTTTCTACTGTCCACTGGCTAATGTAGGAATATGGCATTTGGCTTTCTCCTAGGTCGTAATTTAGATTCCACCAGTTTTATTAAGTTTCTCTACAAGGACTATAGTTCTATCTGAAATAAACTGGTGCCTGTTTCCCCTGATTTTCCATCTTGTTTGCAAGGTGGGGAATGAGTTATATAAAGTAGGGACATCTACAGGGTTTTTTTTTTTTCTTTCTCTCAGACTGAAGAGTAATCCAGGACTTCTCTTCTGTGCTTTCTTGCATCAGTGGTGCAAACAGTGACTGCACTCTTGCGTGCTTCACAGGTATTCATTAGAAGTCGGTCTAGATCTCTGTTGTGGTTTAAGCCCAGCCGGTAACTCGGAACCACGCAGCTGCTCACGAACTCTCCCCCGTCTTACTCCTCCCACCTACGGAGGGCTGGGGAGGACTGTAACTCCCACGGGTTGAGATAACAGCTCTCCAGTAACTAAGGTATAATACAAACCACTACTGCTACCAATAATAATGATAAGGGAAATAACAAGGGAAAAGGACACAACCGCTCACCACCCGCCGACCGATACCCAGCCCGACCCGAGCAGCGATCTGGGCCTTCTGGGTAACTCCCCCCAGTTTCTATACTGGGCATGACGTGCTGTGGTATCAGCGTTGTTCCCAGGCTGAAAGTCAAAAACACAGCTCTGCATGAGCTATGAAGAAGGAGAAAAATGACTGCTACAGCTGAACCCAGGGCAATCTCATTAGATGTCTCTGGTATCTTTTTAGTCTCTTTTACTACAGTAAAGTTGTAATTATTCATTCTTTCCACTTACCCTTCCCTACTCTTGGCTCCTATGTTAAAAAAAAACAACAGCAGATGTGGGCTCACTCAAAATGCCGTCTTTGTTAATAATTCACTTTCTTTGCCCTCTTCTGTTTTGCCCAAGCTAGTCTACAATGACGGGTGCTCTGGACCAGTACCATGGGGTCCAGCTGTGCCCATGTTGGCCCTGGGACAGTCACCTGCTTCGCCTTCTGAGAAGGAACCCCCCCTCTGACAGCAGTGCTGCTGGGCTCAAGTGACACAGTTCACAAATTCATGCTTGATGCCGTCTTCTTATCAGTAAACTTGAAGCCACATGTCACATCTTAAGAATCACTCATAGAAGGTATATTTAGATTAGATATTAGGAAGAAATTCCTTACAGTGGGGGTGGCAAGGCACTGGAACAGGTTGCCCCTGGAAGTTGTGGATGCTGCATCCCTGGAAGTCTTCAAGGCCTGGTGAGATGATGTAACACCCAGGGACCCCATCACCTCGTCAGGTGAGGGCTCATGCTGGCAGCTCATGCGTGCTGTGGATTCCTACAGCCATAATCGGTTAATTGTGTCAATGACAGTGGTAGAGTCTACTTGGCAAGAGGTATTATTTCTAAACCCACTAAGGTTCCTTTATTTTTAGAGATTTTAAACTTCATAATGACAGTAGGGCACTGAAACCTGGAGCCTGCTTTTGTGAGATTGTATCCACCCAGTGAGAGACACCAGGAGAGACCCACTTGCTGTGACACTGTGAGCAGCAAGATGATAATTTTTTAACCACCCAGACAGAACCAGACACAGTCTACAGACCGCCCCAAGGAAAGGCGTAAGACAGGGGTTAGCAGTGAGTGATTTTCCTCTTCCATAAACTCCACAAACAGGAAAGCTCGTGCCATGTTGCAAGGCTGGAGGGGAAATGGCACATGCACACTGGGGCCTTGCAAGTGATGTTCTAGGCCATGGGAGATGCGCAGGGTCACGGAAGAAGGAGTGGGCTTTGGCATTTAGAGTTGCTGCCTGGCAAAAGTGCCTTCCTGTGGGGCATCTCTGCACTGCAGATGCAGCATCAGCTACAGGGGTTGCCCCTTCTTTGGAATCCCACATGCCAGGCACAGCTCAAAGCTATAGGGAGAACCCAGTAATGCACTGGAAAGACATGAATTACCAGCACCAGGGCAAGAGGGAAGAGAAACAGAGAAAGAAAAAGAAAACTGATATGCTCATTAATAACTTAAACATGAACTTAGATTCAGACAGAAAGTATATTTTTCTTTGCTCATTTACCAGAGAATTTTATGACTTACTGACACAAGCTAATGTACATTTCTGCAACCCCAATTGGATATCTGGAATATTATTTAGAATTTTACTCACACTAGATCATATAAAAATACCACTGCTTTCTTTTCTCCTTCACTGAAATCAGTGTAATTGTTTTCTAATTTACCAACCATTTACAGACAAGATGTAAGTTTCTGCCAAAATATTTTCCATAAATAAAATAGTAAGAAAAAGGCCTCTAAACAGACCTTTTCCAGTAAATATATCTCTTGGCATTATTAAATATTAGGGGGTACATTGCAAAAAGTCTGTCACTGTTTAAGTATCTGCCTTTCCTGTAAAGGACACTTAAAATGGCATTTATAAAAGGATAAAAGTAATTTAGAAGCCTGTGTCACATCCATTCAAAAAGGTTAAACTGTATACATGTTTTTAGAATAGATATATATTTATATATATAAAACTATTTAGTGCTTATATATAAACCAGTAGTTTTCCCTATAAACAGCAGGTGGTGCTACTGGATCGCTTTGTAGCATTAGACTAACGACCTGCATTTTGGTTTTATTCCGTTGTTATTGCAACGTACGCAAACAGTTTAACTACGCAGGGGTTTTCCCCTCATATTTCAGATGTATCTTTAATAAAGAAGGGTAGTATATGAACAAATCAGTAATACTAATTGTCTTCAATCTTACAGAAATAAAGCTTCAGACAGGGAGAAACTCGTTTATATTCTGAGCATAAAACATGAAATTCGAGAGCCTTCTGCTCAAGTGAGTGGCAAAAGACAGCGTATTCAGTGTCCTTACGTGGAGCATGATTACATTCCTCATTTGTTGAAGTGGGTCAGTGATTAGAGTTTGAATCCTGTAAACAGTTTAGCATTGCTTTTTTGCATGTCAATCAGGGTAATAGCATGAGTGTTTAATCACACCCTTCATCAAGGATGTCTGGGTTTCTGCTCAAGTACTGCAGCCATGTTTCTGAAACTGATAAGATACGTGCACAACAGCTTTATGTGTGGCAAAATCCCCTCTGAAAATGTCATGGGACAAACCTTGCTCTGAGAGTACACAAGTTCACATGATACAAGCAGCGTTGGAATAGGGTCCTGCACAGTCCTGCACATTCAAGCAAGCTTCCTCTTGCTTATTCCAGTGTTAATTTCAAAATACAACAGATCATAGGGTGTTGCAGTACAGGTTAGAAGTATCCATACAATTTTCCGAATGAATGGAACAGGGCTGTAAGAGAAACAGTGCATTGCAAAAACAGATTGTAAAGAAAGACAGCTGTGTCAAGGTAAATGCTGGCTTCAGAGGCATAAATGAGCCTTTGGGCTAGTGGGGGCCCATGTTGCAGCCTCTCAGGGTACACAGAAAGTGGTGTTCAGCCACTTCACTATAGCCTCCTGAAAAGAATTGTCTCACCTGACTCTGGATGTCTGCATCATGAGGTACACCTCAACCAAGCAATATTTGATATGAAGAAAAAAGGAGCTAAGGAAATGCCTATTTATCTACTGACTGTGGTCAGGGGGATGGTCAGATTTAGATATATGTGTTATAAATACCTGAAGTTACCTAAAGTGAATGTCACATTGTGTTTCAAAAGGTAAATCACTT